AGTCTGTGCTCGTAGTTGTAACAGCTGTCGTGTGGATGCGGGGAGGTGAGGGGGCTCTTTTCTAAAAACATTAGTCAGTTTTGCTGTCACATAAAATCGCTGTCAGTGTTTATTTGTTTGTTTACCTTTTTACTTGTAAACAGTTCAATGTTTTGTTTGTGATATTCTTAACCTTTTTTCACGTTTCGTTTTTTTTCTTAATTTAATATACACACACACATTTTTTCTAATTTTGTACCTTTCATTATCATTATTAGGTGTACAATTTGAGAATCCTTCTAATTATGTTACAAGATGAACATAATAACATAGCATAACAACAACATAATTTAAACAAAAAATCGGAACCTCAAGTCGCAATTGGAAGGCCAAGTTAATAAAGGTGACTATCCTTCTTAGGGATTAGAAGAATGTGACTGCTCCCACCGAGGGAAAACGTGTGAAAACAAACAAAATACCCATAAAATTGCTGAAAAAGACAAAGATTTCACGTCAGTTCTAAACTACACCACAAAAAGGTATGACCTAAGGGCCTAAATTAGTATTTGACGTCAAAATACTGAAATATGAGAAATGTGAAAGAATGAGAATATGTGAGTTGGATCACTTCATGCTGATCGCTCATTTGCTGAAGTAAAGTGATAAGAAGATCGGGATCTTGGATTAGAGGAGAAAATAAGAACACGAGAACGATTTATTTATTAACCACGACCATTCATAGGCCTACTGTCTCGTTGAAATGTGGAGTTCTATCGCTTATGGGTTACTCGTTGACGAGGACGGTTGTAAAATGAGTGGACTTTCCTAATTTACTGATTGTTGCTAAATTTATAACCTTTGTTGTTTGGTTATTTTCACAAGGTCTTAGTATAAATATGTTTGTATACTTAATTAAAGTCTATAATCATCTTATTAACTGGATGCTTTATTAATTCATTTACCCATATCCAAATGTAACTGAAGGATTATTTTTTGTTCAGATTTCAAAAATATAAACCACTTTGACAAATCTTGTAAAATTGACGACTACTAAAAGACTTCTTTAAGCTAATGACTGATTTTTATCTAACCGTGGCTGTATTATCATAAGCATATAATATCAAACTGAAAATAAATATAAAACACCAGTAAAAGCAAATGTAGGCCTAAATAGTTGAATGATAAAAGTTGATTAACAAATTTTAGTTTATTAACTATTTACAAGGTAAGGCCTGTATATATTTTAAACGAGGTCTTCAATGTCACTCATATCATCGTCTTCTTCGTCACTGCTGTCGCTGTTTCCTACTGATATGACCATTGATTCCACGAGGTCGTCGATCCGCGGCTCAGCTGAAGCATAATTATTTTCAATAGTTTTTACATGGTCGCACTTGTTTTTCCACTCTGTTGCACCAATGATATCAAATTTTTCCTGTGCCAATGAACGGATGCTCTCGAAGCTACAATTTACGTTACTGCTAGCTACGTAACCTTTTACTTCAGCCCAAATAAGTTCTATTGGGTTTAGATCTGGGTGGTAGGGGGGGAGACGAAGAATAACATGGTCAGTACCCGTGAGTAGTTCATCAATTTCATATCGAATGAATCTTGGTTTGTTCAGCAGTACAAGCTTATACAACTCGGGAACCAGCATTTCGTTTGAATATTGTATTCCATGTTTGGTTAGCCAGTCCTTCATTTCTTGTTTCCTACTATTTGATGTGGGTGCTTTGTCTAATTGCGCATTGTGATAAGGTGCGTTATCTACAACTATCACGGACTTCGGTGGTATGTTCGGCAGAAGTTTCTCTTTCATCCACTTGATCATGGTTTCCTTCCTGACATTGTCGTGATAATCACCCGTGGTGCTCGATGCCTTCCACATCGTCAATGCGTTAGGGACAAAACCAGCTTCACTTCCTGCATGAATCATTATTAGGCGTTGTCCTTTAGAAATGGGTACACGCATTCCCTTGGTTGAGTTGTCAGACCACGATAGACTTGAAACATGGCTTGTTAAAATATATGATTCGTCCATGAAAATAATAGTACGACCCTCATTTCTGAAACGTTTGACTGCTCTCAAATAAGAAATTCTCTTTTCCCGGATTTCGTTTGTCTCAATCAGCATTTTTCGGTTGTTCTGCGTTTTCCTCCATCTGAATCCAAGCTCCTTCAGAATTCTCCTAAGGCTTGATTTTGATCCTTTGAAATCTATCTGTTTTTTTAGTTCCTCGTGTAGTAAAGAAACTGTTGGTAGTATTTTATGTTGAATGTGGAACTCATACACCAAGCGTCTTATCAAAGCCTTATCAAAATCATCCACTCCTGTGACGGGCCTTTTTCTGCTTTCTTTTAACTTACTAGGAGTACAAAAACTTTTGTTGCTATCATCGTCATCATGTATTAGTAGTGCTTTAAGTTCGCCATTAATCTTCGTTATGACTCGCTCCGAGACCCCGATTGCCACTGCTGTTCGGGCGCGAGCTTTTGCCAAGGGAATGCTTACAGCTTTATCGTCAGCCTCTTTTTTCATAAACTGGTAAACATTGCTTACTATTTCCCGACTCTGTCCGTTCAGCGTCCTACCCTTCAACTTACTTTTCACTCTGTCACACATAATTCTATGTATGCCGAATACGTTAAAACACAGTATTAAACAAAAACACAGTTAAACTAAACTAATCTTTCCGTTAAACACACTCTGCTATAATAATATTTAGAAAAGAATATAAATATTTACTTTTTTCAATCATGTGATTCAATTAGAAATTCGATTATTCCAGCTAGAAATTTTATAGACGACTATTGGTGTGAGTGAGACCATAATGGAGTGAGTGAGCCCAAGTTTTATAGAATGGCTAGTAGCGTCAGATCCGCGCGCACAGACTAATGACACTGTCTGTAGTTTAGAATCTTAGCGTCGGCTGCTAGATTTTTTAAAAATTAAAACTTAATTTCTAAAAAACTGGGACCCTAAACTAAAATTATGGCTTCGACATTCCCTAGTTCTCAAAATTATCTTTCTTTCGACAAAAAAATCATGAAAATCTTTCGAGTGGTTGATTCAGAATCGTGAAATAAAAAAACACTGTTTCGTTTTAATATTATAGATTTGGTACAAACTTGTAAACCTAAGTTTATTCGAACGAGTTCGCGAACCAGCATGATCGAGCTACGGGAACAGGGGTTTATGGGGGTTTTATGGGGCAAAAATTGGTTTTTCCCATTTTTGGCCCTAAAAACTTAGAATTTAGCATTTTCTTTCCAAACCATTTAGTAGAGCTTAAAAAAAACAAATAATTTAGTATATTTAAGCGTTGTTATGCGCCTAATGGTTACGGAGAAAATTCCAAAAAACTGAAAATTTAAAATTCCCATGTTATTATTATGGAGAATAAGTAAACTGTTCTAGTTTGCTTGTTTTTGATCATATTTTGATCAAATTTGAAAAATGCATTTATTTCATACTCAACTACTAACATTTTACAAAAAACACCTTTTTACCCTCCCTGTTGTAGCAAACCTATTGTACTCGTTAAACTAATGTTATTTAAATAGGAAATAAATGTGATATTTTAAAGGAGACATTTTAGTGTAAATCCAATCAGGCAAACGGAAATTCGCTTAGTCTGCAGGTTTGCTGCGGTGGGGGTATTTTACTTTGCTGCATCACTGGCCCGTGGTCTGTGTGTACTCTGAACCAGGGGACACCAGGTCTAGATGAGTAATATTAAAATGTATACCTCGGTCCATGGCAATGACCGTAGCGTTGCATAGACTATATTTGGTAATTGTTAGCGAACGTATTAAAAAGTTTTTAATAAGATAACATTTTCCCAGAACATAGCCTAGAGCCTAGAATTAAGATATATTTAACAATTTATTTGATAATCATTTGAGCCGTTTTTGAAATAATTGTGCTCAAACGGTACTCGTATTATAGTTTATTAATTATCGATAATCCGTTTGTTTTAGTAAACAAAATCATCCTCCATGTAAGTAATGTACTATAACTTTTTAAAGGGACAAAGCCTAAGTACTTTTATTACCATGAATGGAAGGGGGCATCTACATAATACCCCCGTTGCAGCAAACCTGCATACTAAGCGAATTTCCATTTACCCGGCTTGATTTCTACTAAAATATTCCCTAAAAATTTACAGATTTATATCCTATTTAAATAACATTAATTTTAGTGAGTAGTTAGATTTGCTGCTACGGGGAAGATGTTGAGATGTGTTTTTTCAATTGAAATATTGATAGCTTAGTATGAAATAAGCCAAATTGCCAAATTTGATTACTTAAAATATATCCATAAACAAGCAAACTAGAACAGTTTATTTATTCTCCATAAGAATAACATGGGAATTTTAAATTTACAATTTTTTGAATTTTCTCCGTAGTCAATGAACATTCAAAAAAACTTCAATATACTAAATTATTTGTTTTTTTAAGCTCTTCAAAATGGTCTAGAGAGAAATTTAGAAATTTAAAGTTTTTAGGGGCAAAAATGAGAAAAACCCATTTTTACCCCATAAAACCCCCCATAAACCCCTGATCCCATGGTCCGATTATGCTGGTTCGCGAACTCGTTCGAATAAATGTAGGTTTACACGTTTGTACCAAATTTCATCGAAATCGGGTCAATTTTGCTCGAGTTATCGCGCTAACGGACACATATATAAATATATATATATATATAAATATATATATATATGAATTTGAACGGATGGTGTTTTTGGCCTCTGGGGACCTCAAAACGAAAAAGTAAATCGGTCCTGGGTCAAGGTCTTACCATGAGACCTACGGTAATAGCTTATTCCCTATATGGGAAATTCGCTAAAAAGCACTTATTCACATCGTTTGTAAAATTCCGTCCATTATTAATAAAGGGGAGGTATTTACAAGAAATCACCTTCCCATATTAAATGTGTAGATGTTTAGCAAGTGTTTGGTACCTTTATTGTGACAATTTTTGGAAACATTAAAATAATAACTTGTCTTACAATTTTCAGAAAAGAATAATGATGTAATTTCGCCATTCCACGACATTCCACTTTATCAAGATGAATCCAAGAAAATTTTCAATATGGTTGTTGAAATTCCAAGGTGGACCAATGCCAAAATGGAGGTATGGATGTACTTATAAGTAGTGTATTACAATTTACAAACATGCTTACACGTGTGTTATCAACATCCCAAGTACAGTATTTAAGCAAGGCGGATCTAGAACAGTCACAAGGGAGGGGCGAACCAGGGGGGTCTAGGCGTTCAGGGGTACCCCCCCCTCCCGAAAAATTTGTGTAAACTTAGTCTCCAAAATGGCAGTTTTATACAATTTCTTTGTCTAAAGTTAGTGTGACTAATTATTTTATGCAATGTGTATGCACTACCTACTGTATTACATGCAGAATTTACTCTGTCACTATCTTTTATAACAATCATTGCGGTTTTAGACCCATCTTTAGACGGTTTGTCCATGGGCAGGCTTTGTATGTTTTAGCATTTCTTTTATAAATGTTTTACTGTGAAGGTTTTTTTTATATATTGCATATAACACAAAGGAAGGGTTCAGGTATCTGTTAGTCTTAGTAGTACGGGTAAATACGTTGGACCACAGAGAAGTAAGATATGTAATTAATTATCTTACTACTCAGTGGATAGGCAGTGTTAGTTTAGGAACCAAAAATGGCTGACCTTTAGGCCTACTCAGCCCATATCAAAATTTGCAAACAGTGCTACATATTTTATGTTAAAATTAGAATTAAACCATCTACTCTTTTCTACACACTCACACATGGAGGTCACACATGAGTTTAAGTTACATACTAGCTGGCCCGACAGACGTCGTCCTGTCCTAATGTGGTTTTATGTCAAATGCTTGTTAATTTTCAAGATCCTGGTTGAAGTTTGTTCGCCTAACTCGCCTCCAGGTTGAAGTTCGGCCGCTACGCTCACTCACCTTTTGGTTGCAAATTAGCTGTTGTCATAAATAAAAAAAAATAATCGTGCTGCACCCTGTTGGTAAACTTGTTAACTTTTTAATGCTATTGAATATTACAGAATCCAATTGCTTAGTTGAACCAGCTGTTAAGATTCTTTAATTCCATTTAAATATGAGTACTCATAAGGTTAACATGGGAAACTCCAGAGCCACTGGGGCGGAGCCCTTTTGACGGATCTGCACCAAACTTCACACAAACCATCCTTGAATAATGCTTAATAATGCCTGAATGTTTCATTACAATCTGTCGAGCGGTTTCGGAGTCCATAAAGGACAAACAAACATACATACATACAAACAAACATACATTGGATTTTATATATATAGATATGTCATTATAAAACTGGTAATAAGAAAACTGGATGATGTCACTCCAAAATGTTGTATGCCTACAGTTTAGACTTTTATTAAATCTTCATTGGTTATGCCTTTTCTTGTCTTAGCATGGGTTCTTGCGTTGGCATTACAGTACAAAGTTATCAAGTTTAAGATCCAACCAGGGTTTTAGCTTGTAGGAGACCACCCCCTTTAAAACCCTTTGCGATCGGAAGGTCAGCAGGAGTGGCCACAACGCAGTCAGCAGTCAGACGGCCAGCTGTACTGGCCAATTGTCAGTCCACGCCCCCTCGGCATTCATCATGGTGGCTCGCTCCGAGCAGCTCGGAATTGTTTTCACGGAAAACCTGTAATATTAGCATAGGGGATTTAAATTGTAATAAAACAATTTTAATGTTATACTGACAACTGTTTTATTGAATAAAAAAAAAAAAAGAGATTTTGAATATAAACATACATTTGTTTAAAAATGAAAAGTCTTTGATCTTACGTATTTACTAAAAGTGTAAAATGAACATATATTGGTTACTCATACAAACAACGAGTTGAACGTTCTCTTAAATCGTCTCGGATTTTTTTTTCACTAAGTGATATTTTTTTAAGCATTCACCCTTATGAAGTTTCTTTCTTTTCCTTGTCTTCTTTCGCTACACATCGTACAGTCCTATTACCTCCACAGTTTGTATTACCTCCCTCAAGCGGATAGGGCAGATGAAGTTTTCCATTTAGTCGCTTGTCCTCGACTAAAGAAGATGGTCTTCCTCATTTTCTGACATTTCTTACTTCTCTAATCAGTTCTTGTATCAATATTTGTTTGTAACGTCTCTGGTGAACTACATTATTTCCTTTCTTAATTGGCATTGTATAGAATAAAAAAATTACAATCACTGTTTCCAAAAGCAAGGAGAATTTCCTCAACCATTTCAGGGATTTTCTGGTGAATGAATATGATTAAATGTACTGATCTGCAATGTCTACATCACCTGCTTATTGTATACACAAACTGCAGTAGGCTTTTTCACCAACTCCCCTACTCCCCCTTTCTTGTGGCCCTAACTGTTTGGGTAGAATTATCACCGAACAGTGTACAGTAGAACCTTGATTATCTGGGGCAATGGGGATAGGGAGACCACGGATAACTGAAAACCACAGCTGGTGTGTTCTGCGATCTATCCAAGGCTTTTGACTGTGTGGTACATGATATTCTTCTTGATAAGTTAAAAGTTTACAACTTCGCTTCTTCCGCATTATCTTGGGTTAAGTGTTACCTATCTGGTAGACACCACAGAACTGTTATTTAAAAAAATGATATGGTTTTTAAATCTGAATGGAGGAAAGGAACGTGGGGCGTGCCCCAGGGTTCAATTCTTGGTCCTATTCTGTTTTTTATCTATATAAACGATTTAGCACAAAATTTTGATTTCAAAATTGTTCTGTATGCAGATGATGCTACAGCCATTCTTAAATCAAAAAACATTTTAGATTTACAGCAAATTATTCAGAATTCCCTCTCAGATTTGCAAGTGTGGTTCAAGGCCAATGGTCTTAAATTAAATAGTAGCAAAACTAATGTAATCAATTTTAGCACTACGCAAAGACAGGAACAAAATCTTAATCAAATAATATTAAACTAGTGTACATGTTGCTCGAATTCGAGCAATTGCAAAGTATTACAGGAGTTATTTCAAAACGAATAAAAGTCATATTTACAATGAGTTTAAAAGAGTCATCTCAAAGATTACCGGTGTGTAACTCATGGAGATACTCATGATGTATATAACAGTAATCAACATTTCCTGTAGGCCTAAATATTGTATCATATTTCATTGTCTGGGATTGCTTTTTAATGTTTTCTACAAACATTTCCTGACTTGTAGCCATATAAGGTTGTCCATGTTTATCTTCGTTATTGATAAACCTAAAGCATTCCGGCCGGGTTTATCCTTCTCAAAATGCCTCGCTGTACAGGCAACTCAGGTCATTGATAGAGGGCCAATTGATAACAAAAAGTCGTTTTTGGGGTAGTGTTAGGGCGCATTTGTAACCTAATAGTTGAGATTGTCCAGGGTCAGGTGCTGACTGTGATGAGTTAAGCCTATTACGCACTGTTCTGTAGCTGCGGTCGTTATCACGATTACGCCTCCTGTCTATGTTTCGTTGTCGTCTCGTCGGAGGCATTTAAAAGAAAAAACAACAAATAAACAAATTATAGCTACACAAAACAACGATATATGCACAAATTTAAGTTACACAAAACAACGATAAATATACAAATTTAAGATACAACCATACTAACACGATCCGTCTTGGGGGTTATGTTGACACAAACTCAAATAGTAAATAAATAAATGTACTCAATGCGTTTCATTGAATTGAAAAATAAATAACAGCAATTAAGTTATACAGCTGATCAAAATGTAAACAATTATGTTCTTCATAAGGATAACATGGGAAATTTCAAAGCCACTGGGGCAGAGCCCAAGGGACTTTTTCAAAAATGTAAGGCCAGTTTGCAAATCTACGCGACACGCTTTTTCCAATGGGACGTCATTCAATAAAATCGGTTAAGAAATGGCGGAGGAGTTCAACCGACAAAGTTTCGTGTAGCGTATTAATTATATAGATGATGATCACCTTCCTATTTTAAAGTCAACAAAGTTCTTGGGTCTCGAGGTTGATGTAAAACTAAACTGGAAAACATATTGATATTTTGATCAAAAAATTAAATTCTCTTTGTTTTCAAATGTTTGTTCTGCAAAAAATTACCGACTTACAGACGAGATTGATTGTATATCATGCATTGTTCGCTTCATCAATGCAGTATGGTGTTGAACTTTGGGGAGGTAGTTCAGGTATGGAGTCTGTTCTAATCAAGCGGTATGTGGTTGATTTGCCAAACTCACTTGTGGTTGTATGGCTCAATAGCACAAATATAACCTGTAGTCGAGTCTGACAAGACGAAAACCAATTTATATTTTAAAAGCAGCTTAGATTTGGGTTTAGTGGAAATGCAAATAAAACAGCTGGACAATCTGAATTTTAAATTTGAAAAGTAAACAACCAAATGTAAACATGGTGTTTTTTAGCGAATTTCCCATATAGGGAATACTGTAAGCTATTACCGTAGTACTCATGGTAAGACCTGGACCCGGGACTGATTAACTTTTTTGTTTTGAGGCCTCGAGAGGCTAAAAACACCATCGGTTCAAATTCATATATAATATATATATTTATATATAAGTTATATGTGTCCTTTAGCACGATAACTCAAGCAAAAATTATCTGATTTTGATGAAATTTGGTATAAACGTGTAAACCTACATTTATTCGAACGAGTTCGCGAACCAGCATGATCGGACTATGGGAACAGGTGTTTATGGGGTAAAAATAGGGTTTTCCCATTTTTGACCCTGAAAACACAAAATTTCACAATTTCTTTCCAAACCATATTGTAGAGCTTAAAAAAACAAATAATTGAACACAAATAACAAATAATATTGAAGCGTTATTATGCACCTAATGGTTACGTAGAAAATTCCAAAAAAATGTAAATTTAAAATTCCCATGTTATTCTTATGGAGAATACGTAAACTATTGTAGTATTACAACACTAACTGTTGTAGTTTATGAACATACTTTGATCAAATTTGGAAAATGCATATATTTCTTACTAAGGTATTAACATAAAAAAAAACACTTACCCTCCCTGATGCAGCAACCTAAGTACTCGTTAAACTGAATAAATGTGATATTTTAAAGAGACATTTTAGCGTAAATCCAATCAGGTAAAT